CAATCTGATGTATAATCATAGACATTATATTATTATACGTACAGTGATAATTATTGATATTGATTGGGTATAATACTTACTTGTACGTCAATAAAGGCTCTGGTAATTCCCGTAAGTATGATTTCAATGCGCCGGCAATAACATGTGGATCTTTGTATTCAAGAGCCGTTGTTAAAGTAAGACAGCAGGCGTCCAGACTTAATTTGATTCGTCGTGATTTCGAGGCGGCGCCAGCTATTCTGAAAAGACCTTCCTCCTCTATACCCAGACGCAGTAACGCGGATACACACAATTGTATGGGCAGTGCGATTTTTCTGTTTGTAACTCTAAGATGCTCTTCAAGAGGATATCCATAAACAGGTTTCATTTCATTGTCATCTGTAATTGTAATTGTAGTATAAGCATCTTTCGCTTTTATTTACGAGTTGTATCAATTTGCTTGATTTTACTATATAAAAGGATTTTTATAATTTATAATTTAACTTAAAACTTACTAATATAGCATTCCAATCCAGGTATAAGATCTTCAAGACAATGCAATGCACTTTCATGATATGCTCGTTGAAGTTTTACATACTGAATAATCGTCTGAGCTAATTCAGTCTCACGTGACATGAGCTGGAACATCTCTGCTGCCAACTGATCTCGGCATTGCTCAACTTTCGATTCGGCATCTTCTAATTCTTCTCTCAAGTTTTCTATCTTTGTTGCTCCTGGGCCTATATAAAATGTAACATAAACTTTAGCTATTTTAAATAATAATTTTTCAAAGCAATAATTTTTCTAGCACATTTCAAAATCTTTATAAATCGCTTTGTATATGTAGAATAAATTAAAAGAATTTTCTAATAATATATAAATATAATATAATATATATATAATATAATAATCAAATAAAACAAAGAAAAAAACAAATCATTACCAGTATTAAGTTTACTATGACTAAGTTTAACTGCTTGAAAATATCTCGTTCTGGCACTGTCCATATCCATAGTAAGACGATGCAGATTTCTCTTATGCTTCAATATATTTGGTACGTCAGTGTCTAAAATATGTTGCAGCGGAGTAGCCACATATTGTTCGACTTTAGCCTCGTGTTCCATGGCTTCGTTAGCCAGTGACATCTGCACTCGTCCACATTCTACTAGCGCAAAACTCATGAGGCCATCCTCGCCGGCATTCTCCAACATAGTTTGCCCGAGTACATACTCGGGGCATTTTTTCTAAAAAATAAAGGTTTAGCATATTAGCAATCATTTAATGAATTTTAGAATGAAAACAATAAATATAAAGAGTCTTTAAAGAAGTAATCTTACCTAGAACTTGAAAAAAACATTAATTTTTTTACATTCTTTTAATATTTAGATTCTCCAAAAAAATAAGTTCTAGTTCTCTTCATATATATATATATATATATATATATATATATATTTATAAAAGCTTTTAACGAAATAATAACTATGTAGGTATTTTTAAGTTGTAAAGTACAAACATCATTTAATATGCTTTGTTAATGTGCTCACACAAAAGTAACTACAGAGGGTTTGTTGTTCGACATTGATTAGAGATAAACTTTTGTTTTTTATTGTAATTGTATTTAAAATTTTAAACACGTTTTTCTCAAAACATACTTTTCAAATCGGTTGACATGATTTCTCAGAAACTACCGAACCTATTTCGATTTACACTTTTATGTACAGATAAAATACACGCCTATTTATGACACGGAATATTGTCATTATCTATAAATGAATTATCTTTCATAAATATTAAAACCAAAATTTTATTTAAAAATCGATACTGGCCTTAAAACCAAGTCATTTTAACAATTTGCAATATTTATCCCAATTTAGACTATAGGCACAATTCATAATAATGAATAATCCTTTTAAATTTTTTAATTCAATTACGTTAGAAAGCTACATGTCAATCACCGATGTTTTTTAACATTTTGTTTCTGAGTTTACATAACATAATAACATAATTAATATACATTTAATCATATCAAAATTTATATATAGATATATAGATTTTATATATAGATTTTACAAATAAAAATAAATAAAAATAAATTTAAATATGTACAAGTAGATGTGTAAAAGAAACAGCTATTTTCTTAAAAAAATTATCAAAAATAAGCCATATATCAACACTCCGATATTGCAATAACGATTGCTAGTTGAGTTTATTAAATATAGTCTAAATTTTATACTTAAATTCTAATCTAAATTCTTAAATACGATTTTTCTATTTACCAAGCGTTTCTCCTTAAGAGCCGGATCTTGAGTGATAGTTTGATTCGGTGGATTTCCAAGTCTTTTGCTGAGACAGGTGAGAGCTGCTCTAATCTGTTCAACATGTTTGTCAGCAGCCACTAAATCATCTGTTAGCACCTCCGTTTTACCAGATCTATTCACATGAAAAATAAACTTTCACTAAGATATTGTACATTTGATAACAAGTCTTATCTTTTATCTTTTTTGAAGTCTATTTTATCACTTTTAATCTATCCAATATCCATGTAATTAATTTCAAAGTCTATTTTGGAATATCTTTTGTTCAAGATTATCTCAATATTCTCTATTAAAACATGATCTGTCGACAATTCAGATATATTATCTCCAACAAGAAAAAGATACGTCTAGTTAATCAGATTCAATTTGTTTTTATAACAATAGCATTTAATTATATCTTAATTGCTCATGAAGAAAGAATAAAGCTTAGCCTGTAAACAGCCAAATCAAATGCAGCCAATAATGTTTCCCATATTAGAATGTTTTTCAACTAAAGATATAGTTGACGCACACGTAACACTGTAGATGTACATTTGTATCATTTGCTGAAAAATACCCTCATATTGCTGGAAAGCATCTATAGATGCCACAATGTATTAGTAAATCATTTTATTAACAAATAACAAAAGGATATAATGATTCACTGTAGAAGCTTTTTCTTTGGAGATACAAGTCAACATGAGTATCGTTCTGTCTTTTGTTACTTATGGAGTATCAAGAAATAGAATGAATTTGTGTATGTTGATTTGTGTCAATAATATTTGTTTCTACCAATGTAGGCTAATTTCAATTTCAATTCAACTCACTTTCCATCTTTTTCTAATTCTTAGAACTAGAAAAAAAAAGAAAAGTTAATTGGACCAAAATTAAAATTAAACTACATTGGTAGAAACAAGTATTGACACAAATCAACATATAAACTTTATTCTTCTGTTTCTTGATATTCCATAAGTAACAAAGATAGAATGATACTCATGTTGACTTGTGTCACAAAATAAAAAGTACCTACGGTGAATCATTATACCCTCGTTGTTTGTTAATGTTAAACAAAAAAATAAAATGATTCACTGTGATACACTGTGGCGTTCATAGATACTTTTCAACAAGAGACACAGACGACACAGTATAATACAGTGAATCATTACATCCTTCTTGTTTGCGAACATTAAACAAAGAAGTGATCACTATGTGTGTTACACTACATCTGTTGCTCGAAAGAATCATGTGTCTTTTTTCAGAAAGAAGATAAACAGATAAAATTAGGAGAAATGGAAAATGGTGATGCAGACTAGCGATTTTAGCTGACTCAGCTACCTAGAGAAGGTCTGATCGGCAAGCTGCTTCACCCGGAAAAACTGCTTCTTCATGGTTGGCTGGGTGGTCTCGACACTCGAGCAAAATCACGGCGACCTGTCGTCCAGATCCCACAGGTTTTTCACACACCGACGCCTTACGACTCACGCTCACGCTCGTACATCCCTCCGTAACTCCCTCACCGTGTTCTTCTTCTTCTTCTTCTTCTTATCCCCTTGGCTTTCCAACCTCACTGCCGTGTTCGCGCGGTACCAGTGGAAGAGCGCGGGGCGGGCAGCTGGGAGGGTTCTTCGTGTCGCGACAAGGGCGGACGTCCGTCATAATGTTTGCATGATGATCTCACAATCGGTGATGAGGATCGACGCACTCACGGCCGATCGGTTCTCGCGCACCATCGATGATAAAAATCTGCCGATAAAAGTTCAAGCCAGCGCCTTCTTGCACCCGGTCACGACGAAGGGTTAGGTGAATCTAGTCAGCAGTCTCAGTCTAGTCTAACTTTGTCGTCTCTCTCGTTGTCTTTCTTACTCCACTCTTTGTGCACTCTCCCTCTTTCTCTAGATTATAATAGATGAGTGAACCAATGTCCATTCACGTCGGGGAACGTTCCGATGCCCGGCAACGTCATATAAATCGGGGTTGGCGAGGTGTAAAGTATAAGTATCGATAGAACCGTGGCGCTCTTACGTCATGTCGGTCGAGCGTTTTAAGCGTCCTCTTCGTCAGGAAACACGGTGAATCGCGGTTTACTTCAATCTGCTCAACACACACAATCGGCCTGAAGCTCGCCGCATCAGGCGACCGCCTCCCCGCGACTTATATTGTTCTTTTTGCTTCGCTTTCTTTTTTTCTTTCTTTCATTCTCTTTTGTCGAACTAGTCGAACTCCTTCTGCGATAGCACGACGGCACGGTTGATGATCCATCAAACCCGCGCAAAAGTCGCTCGCGTCCAATCTCGCCTTTGAGACTCACCCAAGATCGATCGATCGATCGATAGCTTTATCTCCTCTAATGCCCGTTTTCCAATGTAGATTAACTTTAATCATAGTTTAACTTGCCGTTTATCTTTTTCTAGTCCTGAAAATTAGAAAAAGATAAAAAGTGAATTAAACCGAGATTAAAGTTAATTTTACATTGGTAGAATTGGGTATAAAACCATTATCACATTAATAATTATACAATTGTGATTAGTAATTGATAATTATTTTTTTTAATCCCGCAAATCCCAATCGTGTAATCGCTAGCGTGATTACGACCGATTACTTCATATCGAACGGAACTCGATAGTCGATCAAGAATCGAGAGCGACCTATCGATCGATAGATCTCGCGCGATTCGTTGCCAACTTCACGATGTCAGATGTTTTTTTTTATCAATGCGTATTTGCGCAGGCGGCTGCGCAGGTAACTGTATGGATGTATGTATAATGTTGTGGTTCGCAGTCGCGCGGTTTCCCCTTTACCCATGTGGCGATCTATCAACAGTATCGGAGTCGTCGAGGAGTAGACTGCTTCGAGACCGCGCGTGAAACGCAAATCACTCTCGTGTCTTACACGCGACAGGTACATACACGACAATACCGTGAGGATCGTCCCGCGACTGTAATCATGGATCGAGCCTTTTTAAACGTAATGATCCTCAGCTGGGGATTTATGCTGGTTTTCACGGCATTTCAAACGATGGGCAATATAGAGGTGAGTGATAACATTGCACGTGAGTGTTTTTCATATTATCATTATTATTCATACTATCGCTTGCGTCGGCGCGCACTTCCGTGTTTTACTTTGCGTAGGCCGCGATAATTGAAGGTTGAGAAATTCGAAGAGGAGCCCTTTGGAGTAAATCTATTGACTGAGCCCTTCGGAATAAATATATTGAATTTCACGATTGAACGAAGTTGGACACGTGAAGGTTACACTGTTTTCTTCTTCGAGGAAGAATTAATTCCCCGACGTTCTTCATGCGTTCGTTTCCAAAAACAAGTGGCGTTTTAATGATGCAGCAAGTAGAGAGCAAAGTTTCTATAGTCTTTTACAGCAAGCGGAAAGCGCGTCATATCAGCGAACGTTCAGTGAATAATCTATTAGTGAATTCGGTCACTCGCGTTACATTGAATCAGTGCATATTGAAGGCTGCTTTATATAAAGTTATCTAAATGCATTTATACTATTATTTATTATAAATTAACTTTAATTTCGATTTAACTTATTTTTTATCTTTTTCCAATTCTAAAAATTAAAAGATAAAGAATAAACTAAAATTAATCTACAGAAATGAATTTAGATCTGTTTTTTATATATCTAAGCTGGAGAGAAAAACTACACTTCAGAACTTGAAGTGAAATAATATGTACATATTTTATATTTCATTGAAAAAAAAAGAAAGTTCTACTCCAGTCCGATACAGGAATAAAAACAAATTCTGTTAAATAATGTGACAATATCTTTACTGCGTATAATTTAACCGTTTAATAAAAGTTAAATGTAAAAACATAAATATTTTAAGTCTAATTTCACCATTATAAAATTAACTTTATAATCTCGATTCAATTAATTCTTTATCTTTTTTTAATTCTAAGAATTTATATCTTTTAATTTAATTTATTGTTTATTTTATCTTTTTCTAATTCTTAGTGAAATCGAAATTAAAGTTAATTTTACATTGGTGAAACCAGGCCTAAAGTATTTATATGTTTTTATATTTAATTTTGTTCATTTCATGTATGCTTTTAGTAAATAAATCGTAAGAATTTTGAACAACGTTTTCCTGACAATTCCAATGTTTGAACGTGGAAGAATATTATTTACATGATCTTTCATTCAGTCTGACGTAGGCAGAATCGGATTAATAGTATGATTGGATAATGCTAGGCGATCAGCGTCGAGAGATCCCTTTTTTAACTAATTTAAAGTGAAGAACTCCATAGCATCCTAAGCGTTCAAACACGAGCGATTTGTTTGAATTGCTTTCGTTTTTCCGCACGTGCCCATATTATCGGAGAACGGAAACGCTCGAAATGAGAGAGTGGACATGATTTAATTTATGCCCGTTCTATCAATACATATTGACATTAATCTCGATTTAATTTACTTTAAAGCTAAAGAGTTGAACCAGGATCAACTCCTAGTTTCAAATTTATTATATAATCATATTATATAATCATATTATTTATATATCAATTAATGATTAAAAAGATGTAAAAAATAAAAAATAAATTTTTGTAGGAAAAAGATTTTACATTAACAGTAGCTATCAAATATCAGAAAAGTTTTTAAATAAAATATTAATAACACAATAAATTACATTTTGAGTCAAATAGACCTATTGAGTCAATATACTTGAACAGATTAACAGAGTCAAAAGTTAATTTATATCGATAGAAATGAATATTAGAAAAAGAAAGAAACAAAAAGAATGAAGAATTAATTGCTAGGTATCGAAGAATATTTGATTGCTGTGAAGCAAATGAAATGTTCGTATTAGTCTAGAAGTTCTAGAAAGTACACGGATCAGGACATCGTGTGATTAGTCGCAGTTTAGAAAGTAGCAACAAAAGACAAGGAGCTAACCGGTCACGATCGCCGTAAGCGCGAGACTGGAACGCCTTTAAATTATACGGTATCATTATCGATTACTTTCGGCATGGCGAAACTGGCGATCTGTGAAATATTCGTGTTATACAATTTTTCTCCAAGAGTCAAAAAATATCTTGGTGAAACCTAAAAAGATTCTTTTACGATATCTTAACCGTGGAGAGGAAAAATATAAATATATAAAACATAAATATATTGTTTTTATAAAGTTCTGTCGCTACACCAAAAGCACGACTTTGAAGTATCTACAATTTAGTAGAGTAAACTTCAAGTTTACAGATTTGAAAATAATTTTGTTGGACTATTTGTTCTTTCTGTATATGATAAGAACACTTCTTTCTCTTTTCTTATCTTTCATATTTAACAAATAAATATATTTATATTTTTACCTCTATGATTTTGTTGGATTTTTTTTTGTCTCATTTTTTAATAGTTTTAATATTTCATCATTCTCCTGCGTTATCTTGTTTGCGCGATTTGATTGTTCCTGAGGATATCATTTCAGGATCTAATGACATATTTTTGTCTTCACTCAGTCATCTTGCATAACATTTGTTGCTATAGTCTTCTGAATTTCATATCACTATATGAAACAAAACTTACATAATATATTTTATTTTGTATTCCGCGCGATATCGCAAGTATAATCTGGGAGTGCGCGAAAATTGCGTTCTGGTAATTAAGCTATTGGTAACGTCTGTCAGTCATTTCTGCCATTATCTCCGTAATTCAAAAGTATCTTTGGATATGTGCGAAATTTTTAACAAACGTGCAGTGGAATAATTGATCAGCGCGATACAACGATCTTTGTTTACTCGCGAATTCACTGGCCGCTAACAATATCACGTCCGATTAGTTCACAAAAGTTGCAGATGTAGTTTAGATTACTGGTGCTTTCAGAGTTCTACAATAATATTCTTTTCTTCTTAAGTTTTTATAAATATTTTAAGAGAAAACGAAAGAATCGTAACTGTGAGAAGAAAAATTCAGATATATTGAATAATTAATCAATATTTATGCAATGAAAGAGTCAATTACGAAGATTTCAAAATGACTTCAGAATGATAATATTTTGTAATCACGCTGACCTTTTAAAATATATTCGTCTTGATAAGTTTTCTACCAGTATAACTCGAGAATTTAAAATTAAATGCCTCTGTTGTTATCTAATTTCAAATTAATTATCCTTAATACTGTATGAAATTTCTCTTTGTTTAAATAAGTTTTAACAATTAATAAAAAATTACAGTTATTTGTGCTAATTACAAATGCTTATAAATATTGGATAATTCTGATCGACTTATCGGATTTTTCTTATGCGAAAATTTTATATTATCGTATTGATAGCCTTATTTTGCTCGTTTAATCGCAAAAAGTTCATCTATTTGTTACGTCAGATTTTCAAGAACTGAGATATTAATTTCTTCTTTTAAAGATCTTGAAGATATTAATCCTCGATTAAAATTTCATGATTACTATCGATATTCTTGCAACGTATAGTATACTAAAAGTTCACCATCCTTTTTTGTAATAATTAAATCGCATTGATTTTTTTCGGACTTTGTTATCTCGGACTTTATGAAAATAACATTTCTTAACTTTGAGCTAATTCGATATCAATTTTCAGTGATATTGCATTCTGCTAGATTGCAATCGAGTCATTATCATATAATGGAGATTGCCTGAGATTGTCCGTCGATCGATGACGTCGACACGTCGTCATCGTAGTCTAATCGTAATTGATTAAATTATATGAAATATTCAATTGGAAAGAAATGGTATTACATTTTTGTAAACAAAATTTCTTTTTTGTACCTTTAATCGCCTAAATAATTTCGGAATGTACTAAAACTGTGAAACATTAAAAAACGTTATTAGTAAATAAACAACATTTTGGATTTGTTATTGCTTACGTTATTGTCTTTTACTGTAATTGTATGACCGATTCGCTTACATCTTACTGCCTTATATTTTTCTTTATGTATTATGGTTCTTAAAGACTCTAACGATAAGAAGATGCAGGATCCTTCTATCTATTATATCGAAGTTCTGGAAACAGACCGCTGACCTCGCTGAAGTGGTGAAAGAGAAAGTTTACCAACACAAAACGAAATTCATCCTAGATATGCTCGATAATTGTATCCACCGAAACCTGTCGGAAACCGACGCAACCGGTTCCCACCGAATTCACTTTACGCTTCATGCGCCCTTCGCCGTATCGCGATTCATCGAGGGTCACAATGACTTTGAATTCTCGAAGAATTTTCCTCGTTGGATGAGATAACGTCGTCAAGATAATTCATTACTTTTGAAAAATTCTCGATCTTCGATAATGCGCTCAGAGAAATACAGGGTTGGCCATATTCGACGGAAAGATGTTTTTTTTTTCAATCATGGGAAACGTCGTTACTCGATCTAACATCTCTGTCAAAAGTTACAGTGTTTGCCAGATCTTTCCGTCGAATATGGTCAACCCTGTATCTAAAATAGAATGTCAGTTTTATTTTAGTACTGCAGCCGTACAACGCAGTCTCCTTTCACTTTTAGGCACGTGAATGCAAGAGACAGGAGGAGGAGACGTCATTAAACAACATCAGTTATCTGTGCGACAACACGTTCAGTAGTTTAAGGAAATAGACTTGAACTCACAAATGGACGTTGCTGATAAATATGTAATTAACTGAAAAATATGTTTTGTGTCCGCAAATTACTGCAATTTACATCATAATGACTAAGAAAAATCATTAATAGAGTATTGTAATGGATATATTGTGAAATTAAAATATACTCATTACAATACCCTTAAGAAAAAGTGTTTTAATATACTGATTAACTGTTCAGTAACTGAGAATATTTCATCAGTTACTGGTGAAATATCATCAGTTATTGAATGGTCAGTATATTGAAACATTTTTTCCTAAGAGTATTTTATTAAAATATATGTGACTGAAAAAAATTAGGATGCTCTCGCAGATAATGTACTCTTTTATATCTAAAACATATATATATATATATATATATAGCTAAATAATAAAAATATTTATTTACTAAAAAAACATTCTTTGAAAAATATAGATAATAGTCTATTCAAACGATATTTGTAATATCTATCTATTTCTACAGACTTAATAAACAAAATTACAAATTTAGGATTGTTGTTACATTTTTAATAATATATAAATTGAATTTATTTTTAATAGAATAAAATTGTTTTATTAACGTGTAAATACAATTATTAAATACGATGCGTTCCAGATTCGTAGTAATTTTTTTATCTCTTACAGATTATTTTCTGTACGAAATCGCATCGGAGACAATAACGTAAACGTTATGTAAACATCTATGTAATCTTGCAATACCACTATAGATCTTATCGATTGTCGTTATCAACTGTGAATACCTCTCTGACATCGAATTAAAAAAAAATGAGGCTACAAAGATATTTGTCAGAGAAATTGTTTTCTTACCAAAAGGCTCGCTTGTTTGTCATTATCGCCTATTGACAACTGCTATCTTGACATAGAACGCTGTATTTACGCGAATACGATAAACATAGTTAGTAAACTATAACACTTCAAATATTTATCGAACCTAAAAATATTTAATGAATCTATTTAACTTATTTAAGCAAATATATCTATATATTTTGCTCCACTGCATTTTAGAGAAATATAATAGAATCGCTAAAGATATATTTCTTTTTATGTTAGCATTTACTTGAACTTACGGTTTATAACAATGTTTAATATTATGCGCAAAAAAAAAACAGCCAACGAAATGTTAAATGTCAAATCACAAATAATGATATGATTGATGATTTTCAATAACGAGAAGATGTGAAATAATTTGATCAGAAATACGACGTAAAATAGGATATACTATACTTTCCTATATGTGAAAGTGTAGTTGAAACTACACTGACAACATATACGTTTGACGTTTGACCGATTCGCTCCTAATACGATAGTGATGATAGGTGAAATCATGAATAACACGAACATGTTATATTACGAATTTTTTGAACTAAAATTGATTAGATTAATTATAATACACATTAGTAATCCTCATTTGCTTTAATAAATTTGTTGTACACATCTGCAGTTTTCTTATTGAAACTATACTAATATTTCTGTGTGTGAAGCTTGTCTTATTTTAAAAATAAGCACAAGCGATATCTCTAATCTGATAAATTCTGTCTGGAATTTTATGCATCCTTTTTTTTTAAAGATAAAATCGTAAATCGTCAACAGAACTGTTTCCTTTTATATTGATAATTAATATGCAGTTCTTGCTCATTAAATCTAGACATTCCTAATTCTTCCTAATAACAGCGTACTCGTAATAAGGAAATATAAAGCAATATTCGTTCCTACATTGATATTTTGTGGTTATCCTTGACTAAGGTAAATATAATCCAGTTTTTATAGTTTCTATAAATACAGAATAACCAGTTTGAATCCTAAAAGAGAATGCCGGAACTGGCGATACAATTCACATTCTGATGCTTCGCCTTTTATTAACGTTCTTCAATTTCTTATCTGATTTAATCACTTTCCATTTCTCTACCACCACCATTGCTACAGTACCATTGTCCGAAATATTTTTCATGTCACTATTTAATAAAACTAAAACAAAACATATTATGTATCAACTTTATTTTAATATAGTTTTTATTAATCTAATTTTATATTAGGTGTAGTAAAAAGAAATCCATTATTTTTCCAATAGATGGCTTTAGTAATCTGTATTTCGCGAAAAATAATGGATTTCTTTTTACTACATCTAATATAAATGATAGAGATTTTTTATGTTCAACTAAATTCAATATAATTCAAGGAAAAATCTCTCTCTCTTTCTCTCTCTTTCTTTCTCTCTCTCTCTCTCTCTCTCTCTCTCCTAAATTAATTAGGAAATGTGCTTAAAATAAAAATTCTGTAACAAAGTTTAACATGGAAGAAAAATTATCTGACATGAGTGCGGCTAGTATCAATTGGCATTTTCAAGTTATTATGAATAGTTGTTCAACCGACCCTGCATACAACACAATAGAAACTCGATGAAATATCGTTAAAAGTATATGAAACATTATTACAGAAGCGAGAAATAGCATATTAGAAGTATATTGATCTTCTTGCATCGATCTCTTTTGTTTACAGAAAACTGTCTTGAACAGCATCTCGGACGAATTTGAAGACTTCCATGGTAATGCTTATGTCAGCCTGGCCATAATCTATGCTGTGTTTGCGACCTGCAACTGGTTAGCACCATCCTACATTTCCGCGACAGGGCCACGGATAGCGATACTTACAGGTGCCTGTTGTTATGTCCTGTTCATCGCCTCGTTCTTCTGGCCGCATGATGCCCTGTTGTATACCATGTCCGCTATCGTCGGGATCGGCGCCGCTTTGATGTGGACCGGCCATGGACAATACCTGACGGAAAACAGTGATAACGAGACAATGTCACGAAACGCCGGTATATTTTGGGCGATTTTCCAGACATCGCAGTTCGCCGGCAATTTGTTCGTCTTCTTCATCTTCACAAAGTCTAAAATTGACAAGGAGCAACGAACAATCGTATTCAGCGTGCTAACTGGCCTCGCAGTAGTTGGTACTGGGGTACTACTCGTACTGAGAAAATCGCCACAGAAGTTGTTGCTGGGTGAGGCTGAGGGGGTATCTAACGCCGACAAAGAATTACGCCTACCGGAACCAAGGCGTGAGAAACCGCTGCTGGCTGCATGGAACGCTTTCGTGGATGCAATTAGGCTCTCCCTCACGTCGAACATGCTGCTACTATCATTGACGTTTATTTATACAGGTCTTGAGCTTACTTTCTATTCCGGTGTGTATTCTAGCAGCATTGGCTTCGTGAAGGCATTGGGTGAGGATCGTAAGAAATTGGTGGGACTATCCGGTATCTTTATTGGTGTCGGCGAAGTCGTGGGCGGCGCGGTCTTCGGCATTCTCGCGTCCAAGATATCCCGTAAGTGCGGTGGCTGGCCAGTGATACTCACCGGTCTGACTGTGCATCTATTCGCCTTCATCAGCATCTTCCTGAATCTACCAAATGATGCGTCGTTCAAGGACACAGACAACGTGGGCTACATTGAGACATCAAAGATCCTCGCATTGGCAGGCAGTCTTGCCCTCGGTTTCGGTGACGCCTGCTACAATACACAGGTCTACTCGTTGCTGGGCGTCCTGTTCGCTAACGAGAGCGCGTCAGCCTTCGCTCTCTTCAAATTCTGTCAATCTGTCGCAGCGGCTATTAGCTTCTCGTACAGCACTGAGGTGGGATTGTATGTACAACTCGCGGTGCTACTCGTGGCTATATTCATTGGTACGGGGGCCTTCTGCTATGTCGAATACAAAGTAAAAAAATCGAAGAATGAATCCCCACAGGAAATTGATCCAGCGTTGGTTGATGCCACAAGCGGTGAAGATTGATAAGGCTAGTTAAATGCAAATTCTTTAGATTGCAAAGATACATAGCGAGTTCGAATGCGAATGAAGTGTGCGCTGTGAAAGCTCTCGAGAAATAACATCGTGGAACATAAAAAATTACGTTAAAAGTAAAACAACTCACGGTAGCTTGAATGAACGTTAACGCACATTATTTTAGCATATTAACGATAAGATTAATAAGATATTTTTGCAAATATTGAATGATGTATGAATCCTTCTATAATTGAAGACTCTTATATTAGCATATCTCAAATAAAAAGCAGTCGAAAATATTAATTGCGAATTGCGAGTTTTTTCGTGATTTTTGTTTTTCAAAATGCTAATGTAAGAAGCCTTATTATACCAAGCTCAACAATGAGTGCTTTCCATTTGATGACACAAGCATCATTTTATCCTTCCTGACATTCAGAGAGTGGCAAAGATAGAACGACACTTGTGTCGACTTGTATCATCAAATGGAAAAGCATCTAATATTGTATGAGCGATTAGATAAAGAGGACATCCAGAAATATATTTTCCGTCGAATGTTATAGTCTTCCAGTGTGTATATATATACATGTATATTTCTCAATCTCTATTTCGGAATAATTGTGTTTTAGATATTCCCTCCTTCAAAGCAATCTTTATATATGCAAGTATGCCAAACGTATTTATTGGCGTCAATGTTCCCATTACGCTGAAATGTTGCATCATTCACAGCTGAAAGAACGCTGCCTTGAAGACATTGATCTAATCTATTTTCTTTCAGACACCCGATATTGTTATATTAGAATGCAAGGTTTTCATCTTAATGAGGGATATAATTGATATAATTTTCTTTTTTTCATTTACTCGAAAACTGTGTAAGTTTGCTTTGCATTCATTGCAAGCTTCTTTATATAAGTTCTAATTATGTATGTTTGACTACGAAATCACGTTTGTTTTAGGTGATTTTCGCACCAGTTTTGCAATGCACTGCGATTTTGTGACTAACTAGTCTGTAACATGAGTCCACCACAAAAAAACTCGCGTTTAACTAGTCCATAACGCAGTATATCGACTTTACGTCTGATCGTATGTATATGCGTGTGTACACGAGTGAATATGCATGTGTGTGTGTGTGTGTGTATGCGTGAATGTGGGCGCACAACAGTACGTGACATTTACAGCTCGAAACTCGATTGAATTGTCCGAGATCAGACTTAAGGATCTTGTTCCTTCGTTGATCAACGTTTGCTTCAAGTGTCGCGATGAATAGATAGATTAACTGCGACATGCATATAAGATGTATTAAAAGTCGGACACTTTCCTCGCAATTTCTAAACAAGAATCAAAGCTGTAAAACACATAAGAAAAGTTAATAGGAAATAAAAAATCGTATCTTGATATCTAGTTGAAAATCGCATTGAATTGAAGTCACAAAATGACACAGATTTGCTGTTAAAATAAAGTTTTAAGATAACATTTTAAAATGATTAATAAAATAATTTATAAAATCTTTTTCGTCAAAATCTAATCGTGCGGCTTTTGAAACATCTTGTATGCATTGTAATACCCACGCATTTTATTCTTCGTATGTTATTTGATCATGAAATATATGTTTTGTGTTGAATATATGTTTTGATAATAGATGAGTAGAAATATATAGTCAATGATGATTAACTATTCTCTTGACAATCAAAATTCTATTGAAGACATTGTTCCTCCATAATTTTCGCAAAGAGAAAGGGGATTTCGTGTAGTATCTCTTATGCATATTACAGTCTATTACATTCCGTAACATACATGTGCGTGTTTGTACATTATAGAGTATTTTTTTTGTACATAAGAATTGCTTCTTGGATGTGTACCTGAGAAAGATCACATTCTATTTTAAAAGCACGTACAATGTATGATCAAGCTCCGATCATGTATGATCAAGCAAGAATGATCATTATTGTTTTTAATCGATTTTTAGTCTATACGCAAAATTTTATGAAATATATATATATGTTTATACGAATTTATGATAATAAATTAATATACAATATAATGTATATATGAGATTGAATAATGTTATAAATGACGATGACGTATGATTGTTGTTAGCAAATATATTTATATTATAAAAGTATTTGTACTTTTTGATTTCCCGATAATTTGTCGTAAAATTCTTTAATAATTAAATATTTCTATGTAATTAATTTCATTAAATATATTTTTTATCAGTTTTTCGAGATATATTGTCCATTTGTGCAATAAATTATTGTGCACACATCACTCTGATTCATATTTTATTACTTTTATTAATCATCGAGTTGACAAAGGGCAGCTACACCTCGATTAATCCAATGCGATTCGTGTAAATCCGTCGGAATTAGGATATATAATATAAAATTAGAAGAATGTCCAGTGGTAGCTAATACACCACGTCTAGCACTTGTCTTATACACTGGACAATAATAAACATCTTTTATTATGAATTTAGCTTTTTTACCAGGTTTTAACCATATAATAGGTAGCACGTCGAACATTATCTTAGGCTTAGATTCATCCAGCAATCTCGTCTCTCTGTTCCATCGAGCTCCCTCTAAAAAGAGACCCTAAAACATCGCGGATAAAGATTAATAAGAAATGTAAATAAAAAAAAACATGTCATTGCGGTAAGATAATACTGTTAATTATATTAAAAGATCGAATTTTAATTTTTTTAGAACTATTATTTAAGATTATATGTTAATAAAAAACTTTGCGTACACTTATATAAACTCCATAGGAAGGCGCAGCATCGACGCTCGATTCGAACCGGGTGATCTCGAATTCAAAGTCTAACTGATCGATCGGTATCTTGTGCGTGCGAGCATAATTCTGCAGTACCGCCGTCAAAAATGACTGTGTGAAGAAGAAACCGGATATCCAAAACACATTCGGTGCGTCGTGATCGATCCAATCTTGAAGAAACTGCAATCTCGCCAATAGATCATTTATATAGCTGCCGAGTGGTTTCAGGGAGGGGTACGATTTTCTGTCCCAAGTGAGTGGCACTTTGCCAATGCTCATGCTTAGATAAACATCTTCCAATTCTGATGACATTAGTACCAGCCCTCTAATGGCTTTCTGCACGTTGTCCAATGTTTCCTTGATAACTTTGGTGAGATCATTGAATTTAACGAGTTCCTGACGCAACACCGTGTTCATGCTATTCATGTAAAGTATCGGATACTTCCTCGATACGTATTCAATATCGAATTGTGGTCGCATCTTTGATAAAATCTCACCAGCCAGAGTAAAAACTACTTCATCTGTGTCTTTCTCGACACCTGATGAAAATTAATAAAAATGTTATTACACAAACTGTATTATAATATGTGGAAGCAGTAATGTTGTATTATCGCAAATAAATTCCATGCCAACATTTTTATTGCTATCATTTTACGGTAGTATATAATAGCAAAATGGTGTAGCATTTTTATAATGTTGTGATCTTGTGCAATAAATTATTTCTACAATATTTTCACAATTTTGTCAATAATGTATACTAAGTGTAAGTTAAGTGTACTGAACTATGTAAAAACTTTCATATTAATGTGTTAACATATTAATATAAGTTTAGCAATATTTATAAAACAATTATAAAACAAAGAAAAAAAGAAATATAACTCAATAAACATTTAAAATTAAAGAAATATATATTACTCGCCTACTCCGCTGATCTGTGGCTGGGTTAAAAGTGCACCAGCCAACAGTTGCATTGCTTCTCGATTGTCCTTCGCTATGTCTGCGTTCTCATGCAAACCAAAAACTTCCGGCATTTGATTAATTGGTAAGCTGCGAATGTATTTCAGACATTCTTCATAATCTGTGTCCTCCGGCATGTGATAAATTCCGCTCGGAGAAAATGAATATCTGGGAAGATACGAATTACATAAAATATTAATAAAAACTTAAAAAACTTATAACATTTTATCTAACAAATTTAGAGTCTTAAAAATTTGTTTATCTCTAACAATCATTCCTTTCATAATTTTATTAATTTCTCTATTTTTAATTCATATTTCATTTCTCTTCTTTATACAAAATTAAATTACAATATTACTGAATACAAGATTACTTATAATCTCTGTTTTAGAAATGTAAGGAATAATTTTCTTATTTATTTTTATTTAAGCTTAAATTTTCTTTCGTTATAAAAAAATTGAAAAAATCAAAGAAAATAGTATGTTCTTAGATTTTTGAATTCTATATAACATTAAGAACGAGTGATATTACTTTATTTTTATAATAACTTCAGGATTGTAAAAATTCTTCAGCAGTGAATTCAGCAGCCTTCTGTCTTTATCATCAGTTACTCTGCCTCCATAATTGCATTCTCCTGTTAGATAAATGAGCGCGTCGAATGGTACTTCTTCGTAATCATTTAAAAATAGCTAGATTAATAAAATAACACAATTATAATAATCCCTGATAATATCTATTAAATTAATAAAAGAATGCTACTGTCATACCTGTAATTGCATAATACTGATACGCAAATCGGACTCGTTGAACTCGTAAGGTATATTCCAGCCGAGTGGACCGAAATTTCGTCTTTCTTGCACCACCGCATGAAAGAAACATAGAGAGAACAACAACCTCGTCCATTCTACTAGTTTTGCACACTTGCGGAAAAATTTGAAATCCGATATAGGATCGTTCAGGTAACTTCGCAGCAAATTATTCTTCAATCCCTTCGGCGGTTCGTTCGTCATCTTGACACCGTTCTGTAGTATGGACACCGGAAATCCTTTGGATGGATAGCTGGTTAACCATAAACGAAAATCGTGATGCGTGTTCTCAGGTATGATAATCTCATCGCATATCCGGTCGAGTTCCTTCATCCACGATATGGCGAGATGGCAGTTCTGCAAGATGACCCACTCGCCGCTCTTAATACCACGCTCAATCATGTCATTTGCAATTGGACCCTGACCCTGACCCAATGATATCGTCATGAGATTTTTCTTCGAGATCCCGCGATCTTCGGCGAACTTGATCAACCCAGCCATTGGATCCGATCCAGGCGAGAGCACGAAGATGAGAGGCGTAACATTGCTCGAGTCATCGTATGAACTTTGGAGATCAAATGGTGGCGGTTCCACGAAAGATGCGCTCATATAATGGATGATGAATGCCTGAACGGCAGCGACTAGCTTGTCGGTCCTTACGCATCTCAGGATTACGAGCTTTCTCAAATTCTCATCTTCATGCTCGAATGGTGGTGGGAAAGAATGTTCCTGTGGATTCGACAGATCGTAGTATGCTTGCCATTGCGATGTGTTGGACTGGAAGGATTTCCTCAATTTTTCAAGACCTGGCAGGAGACTAGCTCTTACGATCTCAGACCAGGATTTGTCGGATAGCCATGAGGGATCAGGATTAGGATAAGGATTATCGAGAGCTATTCCACCCGTCAATAAAAATACCCAGAGTTCTTCATCTAGTTTATGAGCGGCGCGTAGTAGACCAACACAGAGGACCAAAGAGAATATCAGTTTGTCCTTCTCAAATAAAGAACGACATACATTTCTATAGATGCTTGCCGTGAAGTATGAATTGAGATTCTCCATTCGTAAGTCCAAATTTGTCGACTGTTCGCTGTTGATTATTGCCATGACGTAGAGGTGCAGAAACCATGGTAGTGAGTACTGGTACATGGGATCGATGTTGGTCAATTCGGAGATACAGAAAAAGAGAACCGCACCGTGTTTCGAAACGGGTTTGTAACCATCACGAGCTTTGTCTATCTCTGCCGAGGTCTTTACTGCAATTTCCTGTTTCGCCTCAATGTCTTCTGACAGCATCTTCGAGGTTGAGAGTATTCTGATAGCGGTCTCATCCTCGAGTATGTTGCCCTCGGACGTCGTGACAACCTCTAAAATCTTATCCTCGATCTCCTTTAGGATCCTTCTGTTGTTCGCACCTTCCACTATCAGCTGATTCTTTTTCTCTTCCAGCGTCGGTAGCTCTTTGGCCACGACTATGCCTAATAGCTGATCCTGCAAACCTTGCGGCGTGATCATGAAGTTTAGTAGAGTCACCTTTACCGCGATCTCGGGCAGATAATGTGGATTTCGCAAACGAGTGGTGATATAGAATCGAAAGTTCGGATTATATTCCATCACAACTTCGCCAAACTTTATGTACAGCACTCCACGCTGCTTGTATACGTTCTTCAGCAATACAGGCTCTAGAATCGCATCAATCTCCTCCAAAATATTCTCTAACAACACTGGCAAACCCAGTTGAATGCTCATCTCCATCACTCTCGAGTAATTGGGATCCGTAAGTTTAATCACCGCTAGTTTATTCGGCTTCTCCATGTTCTTTATCCATTTATTTGCTTGATTTTGCGGATCGATCATGAGCGGCCAACGATCAGCATACTTTACGATTATACCGTTTTCCACTGAAAAATTGTCGGCTGGTAACCCTTGGATGGTCCAATTCCTGATTTCTACCGCTTCACCCAGTATATCGATCAAATTAAACTTCGCGCTACATGGTATAGCCTCTCGCATACAAGAAATGTGCCACTGATCGATTAACTTATTTCTATATTCCACTGTGAATGCTCCCAGATAAGCCACCATTCCGGATGATAGTAAAACGTCTCCAATCACATTCCCCAAACTGGCGCCCAGTTTAATGGCGGTCTCGCTCCATCTACTCTTCTCGCTGC